AGCTCGGATCTGTGGGAAACGAAACTTATGTGGTTAAGTGACGCTGTCCGCACATTAGATTAGTGTATATTTAGGTATTTTACAGAAGGAAGTAAAACAACGACTTTAAAATTTTGAAGGCGTCCACACTATTAAAATCAAAATACATCTCTGTACTGATAAACGCTTGTAAATCTGCTTTTTATTTGTTTATTGGGAACCTTCCTTTTATCGTATTCATCATATTGATAAATCCATGATTTTTATTATTTTAGGTTGTTTTAGGAGCACTATCCTTTTTTTACCAGCAATTTATTTAAAAAGAATTCTTGTACAAATCGCAATCTCGCAAATTCGATAAAAGCAATCAAAAACGTGGGAACTGGACCTTTTTGATAATGTGACGAATGGATTAGGTTTTACGTAAAAGTTTTTGATTTCAATGCCGTCGACACCCATTTCTTGTGTGCCTTTATCACTTGCGTAATACTGCTTTTTTTTTAAATTTTTGTTTACAACGAACGAACGCATGATTGAACTGCCATATTGTAGAAAAAAGTTTTGACACCAATTTAAGTAATTTCTTTGCCGTTAGGTCATTTCACGCACTGGCGGGTATGTTAATGACGTGTTCATAACGCAGGACACTTTTAGGCGCAATTTGGAAAAAGTAAACGTCCAAAAACTTTTGATAAAAATATATGTATATATAAAATTTTAAAAAACTGAAATTTTACTCTCCCACCCCTCAAGCAAATCTCAAAATTTGGAGATATTTAAAAAATGCCACATTTTACGGAATCATTATTTACCTCTAAAAACACCGAATGATTTTTTTTATTAAAGTCTAGTTTTTACCAACCTCAAAATAGGACCGCAAATGTTATTGTTATTTTTCCGTAAAAATTTAGCTGGTATGGCTTCCAATTTATTGCGACGGCATCTGGAAACGATTAAATACGATGCGTTACAGCACCTACACCTACAAATTTAAAGAGGAAAATATCATATAAATTGTTCATAGTTGCGGTGATCGTCATTTTCATCACTTTCTTTAGTAGTAATTTTATTGAAATAATTTAATTAAGTTTCACAGGGTCCGAAGAATATACGCCCTTAAAAATATGTTTTCTCAATTCCTACGATCTATATTTTTTGCTCTCGAAAATGTGGTAAGATACGAAAACAACTCAACTGTCAAAAAATTCGAAATTTTAGTGGCTTATTCAAATCAAACAGTGGCATATATCTCTTTTAAGGTGCCTCACGGCACTGGTCTTGGTGACTTTAATTTAGTTAAAGCCAAATTAGCACTCAATATTTTTTATAAGTATTTTTTTATTATTTAATATCTCTCATCTTGGAAACTTTGATCTGTTTAGTTATGCGAGAGAGTTATATATCATGTTTGAACCGTATTTCCATAGGCGTTTAAGATATTTTCGCTTCGTTGTTTGGACATTTTCTTTTCTTAACTTCCGATTTAATTGGTTAGGCTATCAGTTACACATGGATTCTGGGTTGTACATGAAGCCAGGTGAGAAATATGAGCTGAAGATGAAAGAACGTTTTGCGAGCTCTCTTCTTTTTAAGAGTCAAAGTAACATAAATAAGTTTGCAAGATATACAGATCATAGGTTTGACAGAAGTGCAAGTAAACTTATACATCGCGTTCAGGTAACGGTTGGCGTGAGTCGGCTTCCTGTATATATATATATATATATATATATATATATATATATATATATATATATATATATATATATATATATATATATATATATATATATATATATATATATATATACAGGAAGCCGACTCACACCAACCGTTACCTGAACGCCAACTCACATCACTACCCGTCACATTACAATCAGTGATCAAAACATTGATCACATGATCAGAAACACTGGCAGACGAGGACCACAAAGAGGAAGAAACAAAAGTTGTACAGCCGGACAGAATGGCTTCTCCGAGTACAATATGAAGAAAGCTCTAAGACCACGGCCCACTAAAACCCAAGAAAAAGAAGAAGAAGACAAACCTATAGCCAAAGCTATCCTGCCTTATGTCAAAGGAACAACAGACAAAATAAGCAGAGTCCTTAAGAAAAACAAAATAGCAACAACCTTCAATTCAGACAAGAAAATTGCCAATGTAATTCAATCAGCAAAAACAAATATATATATATATATATATATATATATATATATATATATATATATATATATATATATATATATATATATATATATATATATATATATATATATATATATATATATATATATATATATATATATATATTCCCTGCAGAAAATTTAGTCTACCTCTATTCAAAATAATTTTCTGATTTGCATTTTTTCGTCATGGAACTTTTCCTTCTGTTGGTATATTGTTCTATTCATATATATATATATATATATATATATATATATATATATATATATATATATATATATATATATATATATATATATATATATATATATATATATATATATATATATATATAGTAGTATAGTATAGTATAGTATAGTAGTTAAATTTAAAATAACAGTTACCTTCCTGCAGTTGTTGAAGATGGTTAGTGTTTCTGGATATGAATAGAACAATATACCAACAGAAGGAAAAGAAACTGTAATCAATGAAGATGAAAAGATTGCCATGAAAAAAGTCATACACCACTTTTACTTAAAAAAAAGAATTTCCATGACGAGAAAATGCAAATCAGAAAATTATTTTGAATAGAGGAAGACTAAATTTTCTGCAGGGAAAACAGGGATAACAAAAATCGACAATACAGTTTGGAAAGTTAAGTACACGAAAGAACAGTCAGACTATATCACACACAAGATTAGATAACAAATTAGAGAACACAAAAGAGGAAACGACGGGGGAAATAAACAATCACATAAAAAAAGTGTCAACGAAGCAGCAGAAGAAGTCTTGGGTGTTGAACGGCAGAAGAGGAAAAGTACTAAGCTACGGTGGGAAAAAGAAGTAGAAAATTTAGTACAAAATAAGAAGAAGCTGTACAAGGAATGACTGGCAGCAAGGACCCAAGAGGACTGCTAGTGGTATTTAGAACAAAAAAGACACACAAGGAGAGTAATATTGACGAAAAAAAGGACACTGTGGGACAAGAAATGTTAAGAAATTGATAGCTATATAGGAGGTCGAATAGCAACTGGGTCTATTCGATCCACAAGAAAGGTACAGTAATCGGAGACCAGATAGAAGAAGAGTATAGACCAAACGAAGAGGAAGAACAATCTGGTTTCCGCGCATGGGTATACTGTGTAGATAATGCATTCTATATAAGGAAAATAATAGAGAAATATCTGAGCACCAACAGGGAAGTTTATCTAATGTTTATCGATCTCCAAAACTCTGATGGCTGTGGCAGGCCTTAGAACATACAAATATAAATCACACCCTTATTAAATCAGCAAAAAATCTGTACCACCAATCAATATCAAGAATTAAAATTCGGAAAAAATTATCGAGGGAATTTGAAGTCACAAAATAATCTCGCTCACGTTGTTTAAAATATAATTTATGTTCTTCGAAAAAAAAATATTAAGCTATGGGAAAAGAACTTCCAGAACCAGTTTATTTTAATTTTTATTGTTTTTAAGAAACTCCCACAGGCTATTGTAATACTTTTTACAAAACTTCCTGCGTCGGTTTTTGCCGAGTCGAAGTTGCTTGACTGAAACTGCACCGCCAAGCTCTGAAGAAGCAAACAGGATGATTGGCGAAACATCAGCAAGTTCGACTCAGCAAAAACCGACGCAGGAGGAATCCAGAAGTTTTGTAAAAACTAGCACTTCATTTATACACACTTCGTGGATGATTAGGTGTTACTAACCAACGATAAGGACGATATGTCATATATATGACTGGAAAAATGGGAACTAGTTCAAATACAGATAAAACCAAAAACCTACCCACAGGCGCTGATCCGGAGCTTGTAGAATTTAATCGTAAGATATGTGCAAGAAGTTTTTCTTTGGGCCCTAATTACATTGTATCACGATTTGCATAATTTTGCCCCAATCACTGCTGAAAGGGCTTCATCATTCCTTAATTTTGAGTAGCTAGATTTTTGTTCCTTGAAAGTCTTGCAGTACCATTCAACTACGGACGGTCTATTAATTATATCTTTGAAAATTATTGATACTTGAATATTTCCTAGTATTCTAAAATTCATTTGCACAGCATCAATTAACTCCTCTAACAGGTTACTTCGTAAGTTTTAAATATTTTGGAACATTCACTGCTTTCACTAAATTTACTCTTACGTATACCATGCCGTCAACGGAAATGTGTTTTTCGGGAAAAATATTTTTAATTAAAGTTATTTCGAATATACATTTATCTTTTTTTGTTGCAAAAAATTTTAACCTTATTTTCTGTGACTTTGGAATCGAAACTGCTTTTGTAGATTTATTTATTATATCAAAAAGTTCCTCGTGTTTCATAACTCCACCATTATCTAAAAGTTCAAAAAGCCCAATGATTTTTAAAATTTCATATTATTTTTAATTTTTATTAAGTAATTGAAAAAAGTTGCAAATCTTTATAGCTGGTTCTTAGAAAAGCGATTAAAAATACCTATAAGATAAAAACTTCAGGAGAGCTGCATTTTCAACTTAAGAAAGGTATGAAATTCTCGTATGTAAAACAAACTCTCTTACATTGAAATTAATGCATTTTTATTTAAATACGTAATCAAGATGTTTGACACTATTTTATAAAGTATGTTTATAGCGAAAAATAAATATCATTAGAAGAAACAGAACCCACAGATGCATGAAACAATCTGAGAAGGAAGACCACATTTTTTTTATATACCTTTTTCTGAACCGCTACTCCCTTTTTTTCACACACTATAAACGACTTATTAAATTATATAAAGTTTTTCTTCACACGTTTCAAATTTTCTGTAGTATGGTTGATTAGTTTTGGTTTTGTTCAATATAAATCGGCATAACAACTTTTTTTTTTCATTACAGGTTATTGTCAAGATTTTGGATATGAGGGTTCGGAAGGTAAGTTAAAGTAAATAAATATTTCCCGTAAAATATGTGAAAATGCTAAAGATATAGATGAGGGAGAGGGAGAGATTCGGTATTAGGAAAATATTGATATGATTTTATAACTAATGAAGAATTAGTTTTGGTTAGTATGGTTTTCATTACAAATCTTAGAATCGTAATCGAATCATAAATATAATAGTTTTAAGTCATAACAAGTTAAATATTATTATGCTAGTTCTGGTTAGTTTTACGAGTTCCATTAAAAATTTTGATTCAAATATAATAATTGTATTCTTCCGTCCTACCAAATTAATGAAAAATGAATAAAACTTTGAGCGATTTGTTTTGTACTTTTTTTTTAGGCACCTATGACTACTTGGAAATCTCCATTGGATCTAAATGTAATTATTGTATTGTAATAACCAAATTGATAAAAGAATAAAACAGTTTTGTAACAACTGAACTTTAACAATTTATTACTGAAATAAGAGGGGCTACTTTTTACTTTATTTCGGTACCCCGTGGCTCACTCTAGCGGGGCAGTACGTATCTACGTCAATGAGAGCTTCTGTTTTACGGTTAATTCGCCTATTGGCACTGGGGAGTTATGTGAAATTAATCTGATATCCATTTTTAACAGTTCGAGTAAGTAATTGCGCAAGGCAATAATATATGGGGAATAGTGGAAAATATGTATTTCATTTTGCATTGTCACACAATTTATAAAAAATACTGCGATTTTTGCGGTTAAAACTTTCCAGATTACATAAAGTAATTTCCGTGTTCGGTATATCATCAAATATTTTACACATCCTCTTTCTTTTAATTAAATTCGTAATTACATTTCCAGGCGAGGAACGTATTGTACGTGAGAAATTAGCAATTGTTTAAAGGATAAGTACCGGTGTTTATCGACATGGTTTAATGTTCTAAAAGCTTACAGTGCGGAACAATAAATTGGTCAAGAGCACGTATAAGGAGTATTTCTTCAACTTCAACTTATGTTTAGTGCAGGAATTCAGGAATTTGTGGATTGTGCTTTTCGGAGGACTCATTTTTATTGGATTCCAATGGTCCTTATAAGGATCTTAATTATAAAGTTCGCAGTCTAGGCGAGTTTAAGATTATCTCCATTTCATAGTTTGCAGTCAATCCCCATTAAAGAATAGAGATTATTTTCTATACTTTATGATACCACCTGAAACTGACCGAATGATTCAGATGTCCTTAAACTATTGTGAGGTATATGAGAGTAAAATAGTTATGCTCAAGAAATCCAATTATGGCGATAGATTTGGGAAAGGAAACACAATCAAAGTAGCAGGCCTTTTCGATCAAGCCTATCTGAAGCATATGGTGAAATCAAATGTAGTTAATTCATTATAAAAAAGACTGGCAACAATCCTTTCAAACGTCATGTCTTCTAGAACCGGAAGTTTGCATCAGCTTTGACACCAGATATACAGATTACACAAACCAAATGGAATTAGACATTTGGGAGTCTTAACTTGTCTTCATCGTCAGTTGTCGATATCCCGGTGAGAAAACTTTTACCCCCTCCTCAACCTATAGTGGCAATAAGACGAAATTCCTTAGATGTGGAAAGGCTGGTCAATCTAAATTTAACACCAGAAAGTTATTAAAGAAGAGGTAAAATAATCGTATGCGAGAGAAAAGTGGTGCCACAATGATTGTGATGATTTTAGATACCGCTGTAAAACATTTATTCATGAATTATGTACTTAATGTTTTATTCATTTAATGATATTTTGTTTTAAATTTTTATGGTAAAGATAATTTTGTCTAATAAAGCCTTTGAAATACACTTTCCTTGGTTTAATTTAATGGGGACGATATGTGCCTTTGATAAACTGCATTTTAATTAAAAAAAAAAAACTAACCCACAACACCAAAAAAAATTTAATCGAATTTAATTGAGGAGTCCATCTCCCCTATCTTGATTTTAAAAACTCGGTTTCCTGAAAAAAATCTAATATTAATCACAGTTAAGGTGAGTTTGTTTTAAAGCTGAGATTAATTAAAGCCTTCTTTGGTTGATGCTGTTCTGTCTGCAAGGAAAGTGGTGGGGGGTAAAAATTAGATAGTCAAATCAGGATTAAACAACTTAGTGCAAACCGCATTTCTATATTAGGTTAATTAGTTTTAATCACTGACTCTGTCACTAATCAATTGATGGAGGTTTAATAATTTGATTAACTGTCTGCGTATTTAAGTATTAAGATGTTGAAAAGTAAAAAAAGAAAGACTTTAAATTTGTTAAATGTTGTTTGATTTAAAAATGATTTATTTAGACCGCACGAGTAATTAATACAATTAGTTAATTTTAAACAATTCAGTTAGTTGGTGAACCTAACTGGTAATGAAAAAATAAATGATAATAAATCAATTGAGAATGGTTTAGAATATTAAAATGTAATATTGTCACTTAAATAATGGGTAAATTTGTGCACTCTGAAGATATTGCAAAAAAGTTGTAAGGATAAAATTTTATTTGTATTTTAAATATTATTCAGCCTCCTAAATCATAAATTAGAGGTAAGTTTGAGATGCAGTTTTCACTGAGTTGCACAGGCTCTTATTTAAATATCTAATTAAGTCAAAAAACGCAATTTGATAGAGAAGTAAGTAATTATAATTGCGTTAATTCTATCTATGATTGATAGACTACCCACGACCCATCATTCTTCATCCGCCACCTTTCTTTTAGACATAGAGTCATCAACATCATCATCATCATTGAGCCCTTTTTCTCTATAGAGTCTCTCTGAATATAAGCCTCCCTAATTGTCGCCAGTTTTCTCTTACGCGAGTCTTCCTTTTCCTGCATAATTTTCCAATTTTACTTTTTGCTGAACACACACAATAAATTATTCTCGTTCGTTGTGGCCATTTAAGTCTTGCTGCTTGCTCAATAGCATCCAGAGCTCTGTTTATATTTCTTTCTTTTCTTATTCTTATGGAAATTCCTATCCTATCATATGAATTACCGTTGCATAGATCTTTCTTTTTTTCTTATTCTATCAAGAATTTTTCTTGCAAGAGTCAGGGCTGAAATAAAGCAGAAGTTGAATATTTTTATCATAAAGTAATTTTGCTTAACTTATTCAACAGCTCTTATTTCTATATCTCTAACTGGCTTATCGTTTGTGTTTTAGCAAGATTTGATGTTGAAGCGTAATGACAGCATTTTTGGAGGTTTTATGTTTTAGAGCTATTAACAGTACGTCATCTGCAAACCTGATTTGATCGATTTACTGAGATTATTTGATTTTTCCATTGTAGAGGTTTATAGATGTCCTCTAAGGCAAGAGTCAATAATTTAGGCAAAATTGTATCCCCCTGCTTTATTTCTTGATTAATAGGTAAATATGTGGTTAGATCTATTTCTCTCAGGGTGCTCAGTGCTTATTTAACAACCTGTACTTTTCATAATCTACGTAAGCCAGATATAGTGGTTGAATTCATTGGTTTTCTCTATAAGAATTTTTAGGGTGTATGAATGGTCTATGGTGCTATTCTTTTCTAAAACTCGTGTGTTGAACAAGATATGCGTCGAATTTATTAGTTAGTATGTTTATAATAACCTTTGTTTTTATTTAGTTGGGATAAAGCAAAATAGACAATAGTTATTAGAATCTGAGGATCGTCTTTCTTCTATATTGTGTGTGCTTTTTCCCATTGTTGTTATATTTTACCTTCATGTAAGCACTTGCTGAAAAAGATCCTCAACTGTTTCGTAACTCTTTCGTCTCCTTCTTTTAGCTTCTCAGTTAGAATACCATATTCACCTGGGTTTTTGTTTCTTTTCAATTCGCTTATTGCTTTTTCTTTTTCCTCTTCGAATATGTCTAGAGTTATTTCAGAGTTAACATTTGTTGTTTCCCGTTTTAAAATTTCTTTTAATGTAGGTGCTGGCGTATTCTTAAAATAGTAGAGCTTCCTATAATACTCCTCTGTTTAGATTTAGAGATTGTGTCTATCTATCTAGCTTGTACTAGACTTTTATCTTTGGTCAGTATGTAATTTATTTCGTAATTAGTAGTCCGATACGGAGATGCCCAAGTTCATTTTCGCTTTGCTTTCTTCGCTGCTAGGTAGGTTATTAATGTCTCTTCCCTAGAGTATAGAGAGCATTGAAGAAAAAAAAAATGAATTTGTCTAGGGCTTGCAAAACAGTACCAATTATGGTCAATATTAGAAAATTTTGTACATACCGGGTTTCATAAATCACAATTGTCTCCAACTCATTTGTCTGCAGGGCCAACCTTTTGGGGAGAAAAATATTCCAATTGTATAGGAAAACTGCAGAGTCCAATAGACATAGAGGAAGATAACATTAAAGTAGTCCAGTTCGATCCCCTCATATTCGAAAACTTCGAGAAACCTCTACAAGTAGTGAAACTAACGAACAATGGACACACTGGTAGCGTATATTGTGAAATTATTGTTTTGCAGCTAATTTTATGCACGACACCATTGCAGTGATGTTATCTGTGACACAGGGAAAATCTCCGAAGATATACGGTGGTCCGTTAAAGGGCGAATACAAATTTGCCCAGTTACATTTTCACTGGGGCACTAACGACACGGAAGGATCCGAAAATACCATCAACCATCAAAGGTATGTTCGCTGTAAATTTAGCAAACGCTTCGGTATTTAATAAAAGTTCAGCATCTCTCAGCGTGAAACGCTTCTACTTCTACTTAAAAAGTAGCACCACATTCATAGTCGGTTTTGAGGATGCCTTAAATGGTTTAGAATGGACTATTTCTAAGCTAAACGCATTGCATATGCTTTTTCGTATTTTAGGTTTCCTTTAGAGCTACACATGGTATTCTTCAACACACAGTACGAAGATTTCAACAATGCCATTAATTTTGGGGATGGACTCTCGGTTTTGTCATTTTTGTATTCGGTAAGAATTTTTTAAATTACTCTAAGGATGAATGGAAGAGATGTGTATCTGTTCAGAGTATTTCATTATCTTTATTATCGGATCAAAATATTTTTAATGTTGCTGTTTAGTTAAAATCAGTAGTCGTTAAGTATTTTATTTTCTGTTCAAATTTCTCTAAGAAATATCCACTGGAATACCTTTTATTTTTCTTATTATTTGGGTCTCCGAGATCTTATTGGCCATTTAAATCTTATACACTCCAACACACATTTTGCCATTGAATTAGAAGCTAATAATCTCCCATTCTTAGATATTCTTATCAATAGAAAATCAAACCTAACATTGGGTCGTTCTGTTCACAAAAACCCAATGCACACAGACTAATACCTTGATACATTGTTAAATGACCATCACCAAACTTGTTGACAGAGTTGTAAGCGTTTCATCACATACTTGCCACTGTGGTCCTTCCTTTCATTCAAAACATCACTCACCACATATCAAACGTTCTTATATAAACATCTTTCAATATATTCAATCCGTTAAAGTCAAAACTCCGTTGATATGCAAATTGAAGAAACATGACGAAAAGTATCAACTAGGCTAAAAGGACATGAAAGAGCTCTTAGACTACATCAAATAAATTCATCAGCAGCTGCGGAACACAATCATTAAAGTGAAAATTTTATTTGACCAAACTAAAATTCCTGCTTATAATCAGTTTTTCTACCAAAGAAAAATCTAACAAACCGTAGAAATCTGTAAAAAACCAAGAAATCCACGATTCACCGTTGCTTTTTAATTTGTACCCGCAGGTCATTTTTAAAGAGGCATTGGAAATAATTCAGCGCGGAATCAATGGTACACTAATAAACAATGCTAGGTACGTTGATGGCACTGTCATATTAGCAAGCAGGAAAAACTTAATAAGCTCAGTGATCGATCATAACGAAATGTTCGGTTTGCATCGAGATATCACCAACACCAAAGCATTAGTATTCTCAAAAGCACCAATAAGCGCACATCTGGTAGCATCAGTAAAATACCTAGCAGGTAGTATCAACAGTCTATGTCATCCGAAAAAAGAAATACTTGCAAGTATAGAACCAACCCGAAAAACTACAACGAATATGGAAAAAATCTTAAGAACTTAGTTGAGGCTTACAATTCATATGGTCAAATCTTATATACTTGCTGTGTGTTGCTCCACCGGTGCGAATGTTGGACGCTAGACCCACAAATAGAAAAACGATTAGAAGTCGTCGAAATGGTTACTAAGGTCATCAAATTGATAAAGACACGGTGTTGTCGAAACACCTACCATCAACATATAAATAACTGTGAAAATCTGAACATTTTTTGTTCTAATTTAATTGTGTTAAATGCATTTTTTGAAAACATAGGTAGAGCATCGGTGTCCTTTATATTCTTTTGAGGTGACCAGAAAATTGTTTTCCAGTGTTTCATTTTACACTTTGCATATCATTTTCTGTGGCGCGAATGCTCTTTCCATAATTCATTATGCCCAGTGAAAACTGATAAAAGTGCCGAAGTTATAACTATTCAAAAAATAATTGTTTTTTTAATATTTTGGTTAAAGTCCCCTATTAAAAGAAGAAGAGGAACCCTGTATCAGATACAGCGAAAAACAGCTTGTAGAAGTAATGTAAGAATAGGACAGTTACCAGCTAAAAAAGCAATGGGTAACATTATAGCAAACCTGTGTAAAAGATGGGAATATAGAATGGAAGAAACCCATTTTCATAATATGTGGATGACGCGGTACTTCTCTGATTTAGCAGACAATCTAAAACGGCTACTTCATTTTTGCAATCAAGAAGATAAGCGATTAAACTTGCCGGTGAACTTCAACGACACATAAAGACCCGATAAAATGTATATTAGAAATGGAACAATGTTGTACAGATTAATCAATTTACGTATCTGGGTGCAGATTATGGATTATGGATATAGATATATGGATATTAAATTATATATAAACATTGAGAGAAAACCAAGAATATAATACAAGGGAAGTTAGACCTGCAGACCGACATTTTTTCCAAGCAAATAGAAAATATACAGGATGGTCCCAACAGTATATGTCTATAGCAAGTTCCTGGTCCAAATAGATTACTGTTTTTTAAAATCCATTTTCGAATTCTGTGTTTAAGATGGAGGATGCACTATCCTCAACTTCTAATAAAATGTTTAATATTGTTGTTTAATGTTATATTTTATACGACCTTACAGTAGATGATCTTTTATTTGCTTTATAAATTTTCCCTTAATTTTACTCGCTGTGTGGTCTTCCTGGATATTTTGCATTCAATAAATTACAAACTTCTTGAGTTTTTGTTTTGTCTCAGTATCCAATAAAAAATATTTTTTTTTACATTTAGATATATTATATATTCATATACTATATATTACTGACAGAAATGTAATTGTAACAATGTAAGAACTTTTTTATTCTTTTGCTCAGAAACCGTAAGAGATATGTATAGGGTATGTTATATAAATTGTGCGTGAAATTTGACACCAAATTCGAAAACTACAGGCATGTACTTTTTAGCCCACCCTGTATATTTTTGGTGTTTATTTCAAAAAATATTTTTCTTCAAATTTCTAAATGAATTTGTTCCATATTTTAGCCATGCACTGTATCTTATACAGCGGAGACAAGGTTAGATACGACAACATATCATACAAATGATGTGCACAGTGGAAATGAAAGCAGTAGATCCTTGTTAGGAAAATCACAATGCAACAGAGACAAAGTAGAATCCAAGATGTGGATTTTAGAATTGAAAAGGAAAAATAATTAACGACCACAAATTGCCGCAAATGGCAAAGAACAATATCCTAGTTGGAACAAGCTCCAGAAAAAGACCATCAAGAGAGCCTTTAATAGGCTGTAGGAAATAGAGAAATCGAATTAAAAGAAAAAGTTTCCTACCAATTGTGATGAGTTTAAAAGTTTTTTAATTCTAGAATACTTAAAACAGTGTCACCTGTTAAACGATTCAACCACTCAGTTTTCATAAACGTCTAACGTGACGGTGGTTACTGCATCTAATATTCTGTCTAATCAACCACTCTATGTCATTCTTATATCAAATAAATTAAGTTCACTTTGAGTAAAATGGTCTTAAAACAATAATTTAGAGTCACACAATTCGAAATAAGTAAATTCAGAATCTCAGATTGCTGTTGCTTTGGTGGGAAAACCCTATTAAAAATACGTATTTTTGTATAGGTTCGGGAAACGAATAACTCAAATTACGAAGGGTTCGAATTTGCACTAGGCAAAGTTCGGGAGGCACAATCCTCTACCGATTTGGACGATTTTGTTTCTTTGGATGAATTCACAACGATGGAGAGAGAAGCCTATTTCACTTACGAAGGGTCACTCACCACACCCCCGTGTTCAGAAGTAGTGATCTGGATCGAATTTAAAAATACCATCCCATTGTCAAGTAGACAAGTAAGTATTTGTTTGTTTTGTGTTTGAATATTTTGGTGGTTTCCACAGCTGTAGATTATAGCTCGTAAAGTTGGAAACAACATTGACCACTTTTCAAAGAAACTTCCACAGGCTACTGTAATACTATTTACAAATCTTCTGGATTCCTACCTTGTTAAACTACCTCAACCCTAGTCACTAAACCTAGAATTAAACCACCTTACATCTGCTCTTCTCTCTAATAATTTCCACAATAGAGATATTGAGTTTTCCATCACAAAATACACTTCCCCACAACCTTCCAAAGACAATGAGTGCGAAAGCAGTCTCATACTTACCACTGTTGTCTTTCCTTACATTCAAAACATCACTGTCTACTTATCACAAGTTCTATAGATAGAAATATAACGTCAAAACCAGATTTACCACTTGTCCAAAAATCTCTCAACATCTTGATAGGTCAAAAACAAAATTTGAGATATCGCGAGTTTACAGCATTCCATACATATTTGGTAAAGAGGGACCAGACAAAATATATCAAGACAATGGCAAATAATCTCATCAGCAGTTGTCGGACACAATCATAAAACTGGGTATTCAATCTTGTTGGATAAAACTAAAATTCTTACCTACTTAACCAATGTTGAGATCAGTCACCCCTTGCTCTTCAGTCAGTCCTTGTCCTTCCTGAAGAAGCCAACAGGATGATCGGTAAAACCCCTTGCTCTTCAGTCAGTCCTTGTCCTTCCTGAAGAAGCCAACAGGATGATCGGCAAAACATCAATAAGTTTGATTTAAAAACAAATCCGTTGCAGGAGTCCAAAAAAATTGTAAATAGTAACATTGGTCACTTCAAATAATGGTTGAAACGAGAGTAATTAATACCAATTCCAACTCAGACCTAGTAGCAACTACAAATTTTATTTTCTTTCCCCATTAACACAAAATATCGTTTTATTAATTATGGGTATGTTTTATAGACAAAGTTTTCGAAAAATTTTCAATTAATAAGATACCTCGCGAAAAATTCACAAGTTTATTGTTGCTTACCAGTTTTCAATGATATTTTGAAGAAAATGTTTTGGTAGTATTTGAAATGAATTTCATATTCTTTCAGATCGAAGCGTTTAGGCATCTCTCAAACGGCAAAGGTCAACTTAGTCATAACTTCAGACCCGTACAGCCAACCAACGACAGGATAATTTATATGAACGCTCAGTCCGAGTCCGCTGCAACAATCACTACGAATAATTATTTCACTATGACCATTTTGCTAACGATCGTGTGCAATATATAGTTTTAAGGTGTATCCTAGTTCCTACGATATCGTCCACTGTCACTTATTTATTTAAATTATTTGACACAAACTTTGTGATATTAACTTTTAATATAGACGAGAGGTTGTGCAAGCAACGTCAAAATGACATTTTAAAAGGAACGAAAGGTTTTGTTTATTTTCCAGAAATTTAACAATTTTACAATTCTTATTACTCATTATCAACTGCCTTGACTTTTAAATTGTACCAATAGTAAGTTAAATGTCAACGAAGTTATGAGATTTTGACTGCGTATTTGGACGTTGACGTTCTTTGTGAATGTGAATTTTAGACACTCGCATATGTGATTTGTGTTTCATCTTAATAAATAGATAGATATACCGACCGTATACATATACCGGAGCCTTTTTTTTTCAATTTTTGAAAAACATGATACAGATGTAACAACGTGCTCCATGGCGGAGTTGGTTGTCACGTGCATTCTAAATGATAAATAATTTACAAAATCATATATCGAAAATGATTATATACTCACATTAAACAACTCAAAAGAAACATGGAATTTTATTTTTAAGCAGCTGATCCATTCTTCGTCTAGTAGACAATTGGAGAATGACTCCAAAAAAACCAAGCAGAAACATTCTTCTTCATTTTCACTTTCCTTTTTATTGTTGCATTTTCTTTGCAGAACCAAAATCTCTTTTTTGGCTGCTTCTTCTTTCTTGTTTCTCTTATTCTGCTGGTATTTGTTTCTCACTTCTTCTAATAGCTCTTTCACTGGGGTGTCTGTTAACTCTCTATTCGTTTTTCTTGCCAGCTAGGTATTTGAATATCAGCCCTATCAGCAGACTCTAGCGTAAATTCTTGTGATTTCGTCAGTGAACAATCACGTTTTGTAACTATTGCTGTTCTATTAAATAGTGTCAGTTTTCCTGAAGGTTGTTGTTTGGCTTGGAGTATCCTTTTCGTTGAAGGTCACTGGGTTTGGCCTGGTTATTTCTTCTTGGTGTAGAGTCTTTGGTTTCTTCTACCTTTAATACGCCTAGATCCTGCCTATCATCACCAAAAATATTTCTGTTGTATGGAAATACTCTGGCCACCCTAAACGCAGACAGGATATTTTTAGAAGTAAATACCAGCGGGTAAGCATATATTGCATATAGTTTTCTCAGGATTGTTTAAAATCCAAACATCGCAGGAGGTATTGACATATTTCTAGATTCCTCCTGCATCGGTTGTTTATAAATTAAATTTTCGCCAATCATCCTGTTGACTTCTTCAGAGCTTAACTGAAACTGACTCGCAGGGAGGTGGCCGGGAGCTAAATGAGGGAAATCAACGAGTATTTCCATAAATGTATTCGCGATGACTGGTGATAATGGTGACTTTATAGGTGTTCCCGACGTTTCAAGAAAAATATGTCACACACAAGCATTTTTCAATTAAGATCAGAAGGTTTGGTTCCAGATTCTGAGATTTTAATATATCTGAAATAATGTTGAGAGTTCCAGGAATGCGGAATTTAGAAAAGAGATATTCTACATCGAAACTAACCAGAATATCGTTTTAATCTAATGTAAGTGTTCAATGAAATGAAAGGAATTACGTACGAAACTATCATTTTCCCTGTAAAGAGTTTTAATACAGAAGTTAGATATTTTGCTGGAGAATATGTTATAGAACCAATGGAGCTGACAGTAGGCCGAAGAGTTAATCCTGGTTTGTGAATCTTAGGAAGTTCGTAGAAAGGAGGAATTTTAGATAGAGAAGAAGCCTTAATAATAGAATTAAGGTTGCTTTCCATGATGTACGATCTTTTCTAAGTTGACAATAGGAGCCGTCTGTAAGAATATTTTGAGGTATTTCCTCATATTCACTTGTGACCATGACTTCCTTTATCTGCTTTTATCTGCTTTTAGAATTACGATGTCGGGATTAGATTTTAGGGATTAGAGCAATGCAAATTTAAGAGTTTGGGATTTTTTAAGATTTTTTGCGGTTTCAACACTAATTTCATTAGCTGTTTGAGATGGCAGATTGTTTAGGATAGGCTCAACATTCGAAATAATTTCCTCTTTTGGGATAATACGTAGGGCAAGGACGAAGTTGGAACCTTTTGCAAGAACTGATTTTTCCGTTTCTTGTTGTGATGATACATCTACCATAGTGTTTGCTCGTTGAGAAGAGCTTGATAGTTTCTCTAGCGTTGGCATTTGTTTTTCCAATTTTTAAATGTGATTCTGCGTAGAAGATAAACGATTATTTTCAGCTTTCTCATGAATCATAGTTGAAAGCGTATCGAACTCTGTTGGGCAGAAGATGGAAGCAATTCCAAGAAGAAGAGATCTACAAGATTTGTAAGTTGTATTAGAGTAACTCGAAGATGTTTCTTTAAATAAATGAAAACAGCGATTAAATTGTTATCATACCTACTTAAAAAATATATTTTTTCACTTCCACTATAAGTTACGGACTATTTCCAAATGGCCGCAGTCAAAGTAGGCCACTTTTCACCAAATTAAATTTAAATGAATTAATAATGGATTATTTTTAAAGCGCAAGGTCTAAAACATATGGAGAGGACAAAAAGGTTATGGCATTAGCAAGTTTTTTAGGCAAATCGCGCAAATTCATTCTGGAATATTGAAGAAACTGTGGGGGTGTCAAAATCACAAACGCAAAGAATAATAATAAAATGTAAATATGAAAATTATAAAGTAATAATGGAGATGAAGAAATGCGACCAGATTTTTGTCACTATTATTATCGTCATCTCCAATAATAATTTAACGGCAGATAGATATCTAACAAGTCTAAATAAAACACTACCAGAATTAACTTTTAGTATTAGATTTTTTCGTTCAGAATCTAGCTAATACTATCGAGCAGCTACAAAATGGGACAACTCAGGCATTTAAATCTTTAGAGGATAAGGATGAATGCTCTATAGCCATTTAAAATTCGTTTATTATATTCCTTTGTTAATTTTTTTTTCCTTTTTAAAGTGTTAGATTATCCGAAGTGTATATTGTGATATACGAGGGGTGGGAACACAATAAGTTTTGGTGTGCAGAGGAATTGCAGGGCATTGCGAGTATTGTATGAGTATTGTCAGTATTGTATGTATTATGAGTATTGTATGGGAATTATAGGCATTGTATGGGCATTGTGTTGGCATTGTCAAGCGTTTTATCGAGGTGCGCATGGGTACCTGTATGCCGTTTCCGGCCTTAACCAGCTTAAATTTACAATTAAGAAAAAAAATCGGATGATTCGTATTTGAAACGAAAAAACTAAGTTAGATTTCACGATTTTAGAAACTTTATTACTAGCCTAATTAATCGTCATTATACAATGTTGCCAAACAAAATGAAATGTTTTGGTCTGGAAAGAGAATCCAATCATATAAAAATCGCGCTTGCTGCGATGTTCTAGAGACTTAGTGACTTACGTGAAATTTTGTTTTTTCTCTGGTTTTGGTTAGTTTTTTTTAAATTTGTCTTGGCAGATTTAACTTAGAACGTTTTGGTTTCTTGGAACTATCATAATTTTCTTTTTAATGCTGACACGATTCTGGTGCGTTCTGTAATCCCAAAAATAACAGTGTATCGCAATCTATCACATTATGTTCCTACGAAAAAGGGCAAATCAAAAATTTAAAATCCAGATCCGTACTAAAAAAAGTTATAATCATTCAAAAAAAAAACAAATGTCTCCGACCCAAGTATTTTCTCCAAATTTTCTGACATCCAAAAAAAATTAATTATACCTGTCTTACTCCAGAAGTAATCATATTGATAGATACTGTCCTCTATGTTAGATGGCTTCTCGAGATTTTTTTGTATTGAAAATGAAAGAAATGAAAGCAACCAGATATCCCAACCAGAACATGTACATTTTTAAGACTCTCATTACTACAGGAAATTTGAGAAGTTTATGTTTACTCCCGGATTTAAAAACATTATTTTCTGACAGAAAGATTACTGCTAGGGAGAAGTCAGAGCTATAAATTACGTATCTATATTTTAAAAAGTGCATCTATTAGGCCCCTGATGAGTAAAAACATGTAGATGTCAACCCATGAAAGCGGGACTAACTGTAATACTTTTTACAAAACTTTTGGATTCCTCCTACGTCGGTTTTTGCTGAGTCGAAATTGCTGACGTTTCGCCAATCATCCAGTTGGCTTCTTCAGAGCTTGACTGAAACAGTGTCAGTCAGGATGATTGCCGAAACATCAGCAAGTTGGTCAGCAAAAACCGACGCAGAAGGAATCCAAAAGTTTTGTAAAAAGTATTACAGTAGCCTGTGGATGTTTGTTTGAAAAATTACCAGGACTAACTGTAGTTCCATCATATTGACTAAGAAGCATTACATAAGAATTTTGGGGTCAATGGGGTATACAATACCTTTTGGTCTGTATAAAATGATGTTTTTACCCCTCGGTGACATCATTCGAATATCTATATCTCGATTAGAATTTTTCCAAAAAATTGTTGCTTTTACGTAACAATATCTATAGCATTTTTCTATGTAACAGGGTGTCAAAAATATCCCAAAAATCACAAAATTTCTATTTCACCTTGTATCTCGGGAACAAAACAGGGGGTCCAAAAACTGACACAGAGTTGCCAAAAAGCCAGTAAAGTTCTACTGGCTGGTTACCGAGAAATCCTGTGATAACATGAATTTGGGACACATTGTATACTACTGTTCCTAGCAATTTGCCTCATTTATTTCGGTATTTCAGTAAAGATAGTTTCGACATATGTTTGGTATCTAGCTTCAAATAAAAACTTGCTTGAAATATTATTTATTTCATTTGCCGATACATAGCATACACATGAGCACCACAGCTAACTACTTAATTGGAAGACACTTTTCCACACTCCAACATCCTTTGGGCTTCGCTCTGAAAATATTAGCACCGCGGTAATATAAAACTCTATATATGACTCTGTGACCATACTTACTTGTATAATTTTATATATAAACAATACGGCATCCACAGATTCTTTGCAGTCGTTGTTGTCGCCATTAGAATTAACAGCCCTTTTGCCCCAATTAGGGGAGAAATTAACTTGTGCGGCACACAATCCAACGAGCAGCAAAATGCATAGAGCGATTGAAGAGCGCATGTTTCTCTTTGCACGTTACCGGACTGGTTTGGAAATCGAGTGGAATGTAATGAGAAAATGCATAGACTTTATAGGGTCCTCCGAAAAGCACCCACACAGAAGCGTAATTAAAGAAACCCCGAAGGACTGTTATTCATCTCCGGTTTCAAAGGGCGTAAATGTGTTAACAACATCTGTTTACTTCATGATTGATGTTTGCGTATTAAGTGACTTTCTTGAGAAAAACAGAAATGATTTTTTTACGAACTGCAACTCTGCGGATTGGGAAAGTATTTTTTCCGCGATTGCCTTGAAGTGTCTAAAAACGCTAAAAAAAATCTGTATATGAAAACTGAAGTAATTCGTACGCAATAATGGCGTCCAAGGAATTCCAAGAAATCACAGTGGAATTCCAAAAAATTCCGAGGAATTCAAGTGGAATTGAAAGGAAGTTAAATAGACAGTGTTAACGCAGGTTAGGTACAGGATGGATCATTTACGAGGCTCGATTACCTTGTCTCAGTAGTAGCTTGGATTAATTTGGATTTTTCAAGTTTTTTATATGAATTCATATTATTTTAGAAAAAGCAGTCACGTTACATTCATCCAGTATTTACACTAATAAGTATTTTTCATTATTCCTTTTTTTCCGTTAATAATATTTACTATGGTAGAGAAAATTGAAGAATGTTATAGGTAATAAATGTGAAGGTATAGCTGTTAGAAACTGCTTGAATAAATTTGCAAACATTTTACATAATCTACCGTCAGTTTAGGAGAGCGGGAAGCCTGCATTACAAAAACGAAAAATTTCGTCAGATACTCAGTGAAGCATATTTAAACTCGGCAAGCATCTTTGGATCTCAATATTAAAAGAACAAAGCTGCAATCTTGCCTTCGGATTAATAAAACTTGATAATTCAATACCAGCGGAAGAACGAGCAATTGGGCAGCAAGATGGTGCTCCTTACCGCTATAGTCCTGTCTTAGAAAACTGTTTAAATACAGACTCAACTGGACTTAAAGATCTAGTTCATGAAAATAAAGCAGCCACTGTCCAGCAATTCAGAGACCAAATACGTGATCTCAAAATGAACTCAGACCCCAAATACGTCAAGGTATCAAAATGAAATTGAGTTTGTTTGAAATACTTCATTTAGAGACTGCTAGTGTATGCAGTCTCTAAATGAAGTATTAAGGTATGACGCAAAATTAAGGCTGTATAGAACATCCTAAATAATTGTTATGCGTTTGTTTTAGTTAGTATTATTTAGTGAGTAAAATTTGTTTATATTACCTTTGTTATAATATTATTTGATAATCTGTAATAGATATTTCTACCATTTGTAAGTTTTTTTCCTAATTAAACGTGTTATCTCTATAGATTGCATATTTGTCGGACCAATAATTCTGGAAAGGTGATTTGTAGACCCCTCATATTATATATTGTTGAATTCGCCTTTCAGTGGCAGTTTGTCTATGAAAAAAAAAAGAGAAAACTAATGATGCTGGAAATACGGCAAGACTGTAAGCTTTTTTTTCGGATAAAATTGAAAGTTTTGCAAAATAAAAAAATTACATGAGTGTGTATATTCATGCGCAAAGGGAATTTGAAACACTTTGAATTGATTATTAAAGATCGGGCAATAATGAAGATGGACGAATCAATATACGGTGTTTCACTAAATATAAAAAATTTGGTAGTGACTACGGCGAAACGAATCACACTGTATACCTGAAAATATAATAAATGGAAAACCCAAATTAACCCAAAAATTTGACGTATCATTCAATCTCATACCTCATAAAGGTACTTACATACTTCACTCTGTACTTACATACTTCAATATAACAATGACATTTTCCAAGCACACTTTAATTTTATAATTTACCACAATTAAATGTAAGAACTCATATCAAAATAAACATTTTATACACAAATTACAATGTTTAAATTTAACAGATACGAATTAAATAGGATACATACTAAAATTTATAGTTGCAATATTCCTTAAAGTTAAAGAAAAAGCGTTTTGGAGCCGACATTTAATAATGCTTACACACTCCTCTTATTTCTCTGGACAGATGATTAACCAATAAACACTTTCTTAGTCTACAGTATTCAGGGGGTCCAAATAATGTAAAATATGTCGTTTATTATTTGTTTCAGAGAAAAATGTTAAATAAAAAAGTTATAGATGAGACAAAATGAAATATTTTAAAATTATTTTTATACTCCCGTCTGCAAAATACCTAACTACACGCCGATCTAGCGTGTAGGAAGCCTCACTTTACCACGTCAGTCTCGTTTCCCACGGTTCCGAGCCACTTCGGATATTTCCGCGATTTTACCGCACAGGTTTGGGAGCAATCCGATGTTTTGGGAGATATTTCTCATGCTTTGAATTCTGACGTTGTTCAATTCTGACGGTTATGTCAGTGAATGTATTTCTGTTATTTTGCAAAAATGTACCCAAAAACTAACGGTCGTAGAACAAGTATAGTATGCAACACGTTTGGTAAACTTTTTAAGTCACTCGTTAATTAAACACACGCTCCGCTGCGCTCCGCTCGTGTCAAATAAAATCGTGAGTCAAATGCCGTTTACCGCACTTGTTGCATAATATACTATTTTTCTACTCCCGTCTGTAAAATACCTAATTACACACCGATCTAGCGTACGGGAAGCGTCACTTTACCACGTCAGTTTCGTTTCCCACGGATCCGAGCCACTTCGGACATTTCCGCGATTTTACCGCACGGGTTTGGCAGCAATCGGATGTTTTCGGAGATAATTCCCACGCCTTGAATTTTGACTTTGTCAATTCTGACGGCCATATCAGTCAATGTATTCGTGTTGTATTGCGAAAATGTACCCAACAACTAACGGTCGTATAAAAACTATAGTATGCAACACGTTCGGTACCGCACGTGTTGCATTATAGTGTATTATGCAACAAGTGCGGTAAACGGCATTTGATTTACAAGTTTATTTGACACGAGCAGAGCGAGTGTTTAATAAACGAGTGAGTTAAAAAGTTTACCAAACGTGTTGCATACTATACTTTTTCTACGACCGTTAGTTTTTGAATATACAAACGTCAAAATTCAAAGCGTGGAAAATTTATCCGAAAACATGTGATTTATTCCAAATCAGTGTTGTAAAATCTCGGAAATGTCGGAAGTGGGAAACGCGGGATATGTGGGAAACCAAACTGACGTGGTAAAGTGACACTTCCCGCACGCTAGATCGGTGGGTAATTAGGTATTTTACAGACGGAAGTAGAAAATATACTATTTCATACATTTGTAGAAAACCAAACTTATATACTTTTTAATGAAACACCGTGTTTATTATGGCATTAATAAATTAACTTATACTCAATAACCCAATGTAGGATTGTTATGTTCTATACTGAGTGTTTTCCGATTTATGGACAGTTTTCAAATAAAAAATGTCTTGTTTTTAATATCCTATATTTTTGACCCCGTTCCCGACAGTTGTAATTTTATTATTAAAACAATAACTTCCGTGAAATAAAAAACGCCCTGTATAGTATACTTCCATCAATTAATGCTATTAACACTGTTTCAATTTTACTAAGCCTTACCTAAACTTATTATTTTTTTGAGGTAAGTAAGTATACCCAGAGATATGAAGGCATCCGTACCGTTGGAGTCCAAAAAGTGGATATGAATGGCATGACCCATCCCAGAAGAGCGTAGGATCACTGCAAATGGAATACTGCAAAGTAAGCTGTTCTTCGGGCGATAAGGGAATATTCATGTTACGAAAAAGTGTTTTGGATAGCCTAGAAGCAACCCGCTAGATGTCAATGTCACAGTGAAGCCTTGGATCTAGGTGGACACCCAGAAATTTTATACATATATCGGAGTTAACTGTTCCAAGTTTTCAGTATTATGTGAGTTGTCATGATCCAACCAAAGTAACCAAAATCAAGCAAAACTTCACGGAACTTTTATGTCGTCAGCAAATAGCGTTCACTTGGAATGAAGGTCAGCCAGTGGCAGGTCATTTACGTACATCAGAAATAGTACAGGACTAAACCTTTCGGAATGCCTATATTCACATGACCCTCAGCTTGATGATTACCTGCTGACATCTATTTCTGAGATATGATCTGAGGAGATCTATGTCCTCGCCCTGTATCTTGTATAGTTCCAATTTCCTAAATAGGATTAAGTGATCAGGTTACAAGAAAAAAAGGAGTTACATTCCAAATCTGAAAACTCTTCAATATACCTGACATTAGCTCCAAAATACCTAGCACAGTATTTCCGAAAACTACGCTAACATCTACTAAATAGCCCTTCAACTTCAAAATATGCCGTTAGTTAGGTATTACAGGAAAAAGAGATACGGCTCTGTAATTAAGCATCGACAGAAGATATTTCACTGATTTCAATGGAAAATTTATAAATAATAATCGAAATTTTCAGTCAACTTGGAGTAAATCTCCAACAGCTATATGATTGCTCAATAAGTTCCTGATTGTCAGCATTATAGAGGGCCTCCTATATCTCCAGTAGAACTATGGTTTTCGGTAAGTAACGATTCTTTTTATTCTATGCATACATATCAATTATAGGCAATGACGTCACATGATACATGCTTTCAAAAATAACGATAAAGGAAATATAATTCAATTCAACTAGCATCAGAAATAATCCAACAAAAGTATGTCCTACTATTTGCAAAACTTCTAGATTCCTCCTGCGTCGGTTGTTGCCAACTATCCCGCTGACTTCTTCAGAACTTAACTGAAACTGGCTGACAATTAGAAGAATTGATTACACGCAAGAATTTTAGTTTTATCGTAAATAATTTTGTCCGGTTTCGTGTGTTCATCAACTGCTGATGAGTTTATTTGTCTTAGTCTTAAGGCTCTTTCATTCCCTTGAGCCTAGTTAATATTTTTTGCCCGGTCTCTCCAATGCCTTTGGAGGACGAAAAACACCTTACATCTACTCCTCCCTAATAATTTCCATATTAGGGATATTAAGCGTGCTTAATACTTCCTTATATTCAAAACATCACTAATCGCATATCAAAAGCTCTTAAGAAATATAAATCAAAATCAGATTTACCACTTGTTCAAAAATCTCTCATCTTCGATCCGTGGAAGCAAAAATTCCGTTTGAGATATCGGGAATTTACATCCACATGCGGCAAAGAATACATTGAAGAGACCGGACGAAAAATATAAACCAGGCTCAAAAAACATGAAAGAGTACGTGACTGTAATAGATCCTGCAATTTTAGTTGGTCCTGCTGCTGTTCGGGAAAATACGTATGTTTATGTAAGTTACCGGCGTATTAAATTGTTTAAAACTCGGTTTTTTTATTGTTTTCTTTTGTGTCAGTAATAACTGGAATGTTTTAAAAACCCGTGTGGATTCGTAGTAAAAGCCAAGTGACATAAATCGGACAAACCACAGTGCAAACTGCCCGCAAAGTTGTGTCTTTGGATATCGGTGTTTGTAGGCTATACCGCCGTATTTTAAACTTTGAAACTCGGTTTTTAAACGGTATTTTTAGTGTTATCGATAACTAAAATGTTTGAGAAAACCCGTGGGCATTTGTGATAAAAACCAAGTATCAGAAAGTACAAAGAACAGTGCAAACATGCCGCGATATTATGTTTTTGGGTGTCGGTCAAATTACAAGTCCGAAGAAACTAGACCCGAATCAAAAAGAAGTTTGGCTAAGAAAGATACCTAATGATATTAGGCAATTAAAGAAACCAGCTGTATGTATAAAACATTTTGCAGAGAAAGATGTTATTTGCCAAGTGCCTAGTTAAAGGAGAGTACAAAGAATATGCTCGTGAGAGGCCAAAATTAGCGGAAGGTGCTGTGCCAACTATTTTCGAGAATGCCCCAAAGTACTTCATCCTAACACAGCCCAATGTTGTTCGTTTAGCTGATGTCGAAGCAGAACAAATGGAGGCAACGATAAAAGCAAGCCTAGAAACACAAAAAACCTTTGAAAATGCCAAAAAGGTTTCATCACTGGAAACATTCAGAGGAATTGAATAGTGAAAACTGCATAATCATAGCAGCATTGGTTTAAAAGTTATAAATTTTTGTATATATTAACCCTCTTTCATCCTTTCAACGAACCCCACCTTTGCACTTATTCCCTCTAAGCGAACCTCTAACATTGAAAATACGTAGTGGAAGTCATATCTGAAAACTACACATAAGTAACAATTTTGTTTCATAAGGTATGAATATTTTTAAGTGTTAACGTCGTTTACGCTTGCTTTTACGCCTTCAGACACCCTCGCCACCTCCTGCCCCTATAATATTGTATTTTCACCTGACATACATCACTATACCGAATTTCATTTAAATCGCTTAACGGGAAGTTTGTTTAATTCGATTGTAAGATTTGACTACAATAACACCTACATTGCATCGCACCGCAGTACCAATACCAGCAATACGCGCCCAGGCCGCTATTTTTCGTCGGCTGCGGAAAGAGACTGACAATGTTCATCTCCCTCCTTCAGCTGGTCCCCCTCAAACAATATATAAACAGGTACAGGTAAGATGCAAGCAATGTCAGTTACGCTCCGAAGAAGCTAACAGGATGATTGGCGAAACGTCAGCAAGTTCGATTCAACAACAGACGCAGGAGGAAGTTTTGCAAATAGTGTTGTAGTAGCCTGTGGATTTTTTTTGGAAAAAAAGTTCTTAGAATCCTTGAAATTCGCCTTTGATTGGTTTTCGATATTTTATCTTTAAACCGATGTATATTAGAATTTACTTCTGAAGCTTCGCGTCTAAATTTTGTATCATTTTTACAGTGAATATTTAAATATCCAAAAGATATCCGCTACTGGATGGCCAGAAGTTGTGCATAAATGACAATCTCTTAAACGTCCGGAGATTTTCCTGGGCTGCATGGATAATTTGACATATCCAATGCACGTCGTCTGCTATCGATATCAGAATCCATCTCTAAGCCCCTTTACATACAAAACAAACAGAATGGGACCCAATATTCAGCATCAAGGTAGTCCCTATTTGGTTCTCGGAAAAATATTCTGAACCGTTTTCAGTGCTGTCTATCTCCCAGGTACGATTTTAACAAAGAAACGCGAGTAGCTCGAACCCCAAGTTTATTTAACAACAAATGGTGATGAACAGCGTGCGTTTCCTTTTTGTCGATATTTTCTGTCGTAAAAGCAATGATATGAAATATAGCTAATTCTGTGTATTTGTTTGGTAAAAGCTCATACTGATTTATTTTTCGAATGTCAAGGCAATTTAGAATGAATTACCCTCTCAAACACTTTCGACTCCAACGACAGCAGCGACACCGGCCTGTAGGTGCAGCTATTATATAAAATAATCATTATCCATTTTTTTAAATGTAGTCTAGGAAATAAAATCAAGACACTTTATGAGAATCTTAGTAAAATTGTATTTATTCCATGTATGTACAAAACAATTGCTTTAAAATTACCTACATAAAACTGTCCACACTATCGAGTTTCTCTTTGCGTTTTGAACACCTTTGCTGAGTGAAGAAATTATAAAAAGTAGGGAGTAACGTTTCTGCTGGGGATAACCCTTTCTGAATCAGGGACGGCACTAAATAATTTGGCTTCAATTTTATCTGTCGCAGTGCACTCAAGAATACTGGCGACATTGCCACATCGGTAGCAATAATTTGGTGCCGACCATACTGTCACCAATTTGTCGTCGAACATGTATTTATAACCTTGAAAATAATAAATCTTCATTATGTACACATATGTCCATACATACAAGGTTTTAAAGTAATGTAAAGTAATGTGATGAATGAGGCAACCATGAAAATGCAAAGTATTATTATTAATATATATTTATTTATTCTAGGTTTTAACATTTTAGAAAAAAAAGTTTAATACAAAAGTGGCAAGGTTTAATGTTGCATACTGATTTATATACAAAGTGAAACAAAAAAGCGTAGTACAAATTTTTAAACCGGCACTGAATGTTATTTCATATAAACAAAAGTTCTTTTTTGCTGATTTCAAAAAATATAACATGTTATAGTTATTATATTAATGCCAAAGTCAGCGAAAAATTCAAAGCCAGGACTTTTGGTAAAATTTGACAGTTGTTGTACAGCTTCAATATTATTTTCGTTTACAATGAACAAAAGAATAATGTATATGCAAATACGACCAGCGAATTATTTAATTTATTGATTAGGTACATTCTACTAAATTTTGAAAACGCACTAGCTCCATTTTCCTGAATACACAGATGATGCCCTCTTGTTATCTTATCTAAAGCTTTAATTTTCCTGTGAGTATGCAAATCATTAATATTATTTATTTCGCTCCTAATTAAGTTTTTGTCATCTAGAGTCATCTTAAGAACTGTACACCCTTCTAAAATCTTTTTTATTTTTCGATTTTGATAATTTGCTTTTTGTTTATTATTGGGACTATTTATTTATTGTGGGATTATTTAACAAAGAAGAGAGCAGACAGAAGTGTTAGTAAGGATTTTTTATAGAATAAATTGACAACGAATTCTTATTCAGGGGAGTACTGTAACAATTTCTATCGTGTTTTAATACATGGTGTTTTAAATGTTGCTTGCGCGCCGCTTAAGGCGCTACACCCCTGTAAAATCTTTGTTTATGGTTAGATTTTGATTTTTCTTGTTGGATCTCTCACAAAAAGCATTAAATCATTAGGTTGCTTACTGAATCAACCTGAAGTAATGGCTTAATGGGACTATTTTTTAATGACAAATATCGAAAAGAGTTATTAAGGATTTCTTTAATAATAAATTGTAAGGACTACCTAAAAGCTAACTACTAATTTCCATAAAGTTTGAAGACAGGGTGCTCTAGATTGCAATGATTATTTTTTTTTTTGGATCTTACACAAAAACTAGTTGCTAGTTAGCTTTAGAAAGATTTTATCAGGCATGAGCTCTTAATATTAATGGGAAGATTATCCTCATTATAGTTTTGCATTTTATATTTAGCTTCATATATAAATAATCATATCTTATCACTAATAGATCTTTAAGCCAATTTTATTGATAATTTATCACTGTTTGATGATACTGTTCCACTCAATATAAAAAAGAAGGTAGTCGAAGCTGTAAAAACTCGAGATTATTCAAAAGGATTTGAGTGGCTTCGTTTCTCAAAAATCATTGAATTTGTTCAAAATTTCTTGATGTTGACATTGCATTGTGAGCTTCAAATGAGAGTTATAAAGAAAATGAAGAGTGGTTCAAACAAAAGAAAATTGTAAACGACGCAGCAGAGCGTGGCGTAGCGATGGTCTCCGAATATAATCAGCAGGAAAGCAGTTTCAATACTTACTGTAATAAAAGTCGATTTGTATAATTTAGTCTAAAAAATGTATATTTTTCTATTAAAACTGTATTAAGGTATACAATTTCATATGGTGGAACAGAAATCTTCTTCTATTAATGCATTTGTTGACATTTCGTGAATAAAGAACTTTTTTTCTGAAATAGATAATAAATAATCTCAAAATTTACTAATTCAATGAATAAATTGAAAATATTTATTAAAAACTATGAATATAAGAAATCCATTGGGATTCCAATGCAAATATCTTCAAAATGGTTCGAGTAACCGATAAACTACCTTTCTCATTAAATTTTCCTATAAGAATAATTGAAAACATTTCACGATAATTATTTTTTAGTCTAACAAACTTCAGAACAAAAAGTAATTTTTTTTTTAATTCTTCAACCTTTGACCTCGTATATTGGTTGGTTGGTTGAATTTCCTATAAAAATTAATAATAAAATTGGTGATAAGATATGATTATTTATATATGAGACTAAATCGAAAATGCAAAACTGTAATGGCGATAATCTTCCCATTAAGAGCTTACATGTGGTAAGTACTTTCTAGAGGTAACTAGATTTTGTGTGATAAATCCAAAAAAAATATATTCGTATTTTTTTACCCACGCTCGAAATATCGTTTGCGTCTCACTTACGCCTGTAGAATGCAGAGTGTTTTTTTTATTGCTCAATTTTGATAATTCCTTTCTTATTGGATAGAGCTTGAAGCGGAAAATCGAGTACTTTTACGGATTTTTTCAAATTGAAAATGACAACATAAAAATAAGGTTTAAGTGCAATTGGCGTGACAGCACAATGATGCATGGCCAAGTTATGGGTGTTTTAAGTTTGGATAATTCTATCCTTGATGAAAAAATAAATATAACATGTTATACATTTTCTAAATCAGCAGAAAATGACCTTTCTTCTTATAAAATAATATACAGGGCTTACATTAAAAAAGAAACATAAAACTTTGCTATACTATACTTTCTTAGCACATCTGGTATATAAATAAGTATATAATATTAAATATACACATCAACCCTTACATCGCGCCTCTGTATTATCACAGAAATTAAAAACATTACACCACAATGTAAGTTCTTGGAGAAATTTGATAAAAGTCAATACAAATTTTAATTGTTAATCGAAATAGACTCTCAAAATGTGTGAATGTGTGTGTGTGTGTGATGAATTGCAGTGGCTACACTCTAATGGCTTTTTGCATTTTTGATTATTTTTATAGTATTTTATATTCCATTTTAATTTTTATCAAAAATAAAACTTAATTGTGGTTGATCTGGATTCTAAAACTTGTATTTTACAACACTTACTCAGGGCAGAATGAAGAAGAGCCAGCAAGTTTGACACCAAGTTCCAAATTTTGATGTCAAATTTGGAAATAAACCGTGAAATAAACAAATGCATTACAATTTTCATTACCCTCAATTTCATTTGATTAAAAAAAACTATAAAAACAAATGGTGCTGCAATGTGTTGGTGTAATGCTAGTGTGGAATTTATTTATCACATTTAAATTCCAATTTACCTTCATGTACCAGCTGATGTGCTCGGCAGATTAAACTCAGTGAATTGATCCAAATAAAATCATCTGTAACCTTTGCTCCAAACAAATAGCCCGCCCCCCTTGGACTACTAGCCCTGAAAAAAATATTATACATTATAAGGGGTACAATTAGTATAAAACGAAAAAAAAATATCCTTATTTATGATTCAGCACAGTCAAAAAGGGTCAAATGTTAATATATAGTTTATGGTCATATTTAAATGACCAGTAAATAAAACTACACTAAACTGCACCACTTGACAATGCTAATGTTTTAGGAGTAGTTTGAGTATTTACATATTCCTTTATTAAATTTATATGAGACACTATATTTAGCCATGCAATAGCAAAGTATATCATATGCATCTTGTCTTATTCTTAATATTTGAAATTGCTAATAACAAATTTTCAGAACAATGTAAGAATAAATAAACTCTCCTAAAAGTGTGGCATGATTTCTATTCCACAGCTTATAAGATACTGTAGTACTACTGTTTTTCATTTTGAAAAAATCAGCCGAATTTACATACTAGGTACATACCACGTCGTTTCGATTTCATCTGGATCTGACCAAACTAGATCACAGAACGCACCTCTATGTGGAATTTCTTGGTTTCTTTCCAGCTTTCTGATCTGATCCAATGTTTTAATGTCGGGGCTAAGGCCACCATGGACACATAAGATTTTTTCATCTATTATCTAAAACCAATAACAATTCAATTGCTGAGCCAATGATTTTGACATCATTTAGTTGTAATTGGGTTTACAAAATAATGAATTCATAAGTATTTATTTATAAGCAGTATGAAAGCATAAAATAAATATGAAGAAAACATCAAATTTTGCTTAATAACTTGTCTATCTACATAACAGATTACTAATAAAGTAAGTAATAATAATTAAGTTCTATTGATATATAATTTCCCAATAGAGTTGTTTACAACTTCAAACAAAATTTTAAATGTTTGAGTACTTACAGCCGCTACTGTTAATAAATCAAAAACACTACAGCAATATTTCCAGGCATTAATATTCCCATATTTAGTCATACATTCATCATAAAATCCATAAACTTGTGTGATTTGTCGACTTTCATGGTTGCCTCGTAATAATGTTATCTTATTTGGAAACTTTGCTTTCAGGGTAAGCAGCCTTGTAAAAGTCTCCAAACTATAGTACCCCCTATCTACAAAGTCTCCTAGAAAAACGTAATTTGTATCTGGAACTTGTCCTCCTTTTCGAAACAATTCTTCTAGATCATAAAACTAAAATTTTAAACTATTCCAAATATCAATTTCGCATGGAGAATATTTTACCTGGCCGTGAATATCCCCACACACCGTGACTGGTGTTGAGACAGGTTGAACATTGGATTCCTCAAGTAGGATACTCGAGACAATATCACATAATTTTTTAAGATCATTTTCTGGCAAATATTTACATTGTTTGGCGATTTCTATCCAATTATCTATTTCTGAAGACATGCTAAAATTCCTAAAAATGTGGGAATTTTGCTTTTGGGTGGGTAAAGTTTTATTTTACACCAATTAGTGACCACAAATTATAACAATAAAAGTTAAACAAAAATGTCAAATGTCAGAAAACTGATCGATGACAAATTCTTCTTTTCTCTGCTTTTCACCGTTGGGAAAGCCTACCAGGGACACTCGGTATTTGCACAACACAGATAGCAAAAATACGGATTCAGTAACTTTTGCCCTTATTCAGATGTTTGTATAGATTTAACACTCCTTCAATAGATTTGTTTTCTATGGATATTTGTACAGGGAGGGTGGTCCGTCTAAGAGGGGCCTATACCTTATCTCGAAACCTATGGGGGTTACAAAAAAAATTTAAATAGAAAAGTTGTTTCTATTAAAATGACCTTTTTTTTATTTTCCTAAGCGTCACTTTTTTCATATACTGGGTGGTAAAACAAATTTCCATGAACGATATATATGAGTATCGAACTTATCAGTGATCATCTTCAGAATAAGTTATGTTTAAACCATCATTGGTGTGTTGCTTATTAACTTTTAAAACTTTTTTCCATATATTATTTTTGCTTTAGGCAAATTTAAAATATTTTCTTAAAATACGCGGTGTTGCCACGTTTCGCAAAATGATACTTTTCTCAATTCCCTTAAATGAGACACCCTGTTATATTATGTGATTTTCGAATAGCCACGTTAATAGCTATTTCAATTATATAACATAGTACGGGTATCTGATTTACCGTTTTGGATTAATTGGCAATTATTTTACAATAATACATAAATTATTTTACATTCATAATTTAAGAACTTTGTAAATAAGGTCCTTAAATGGAAAAAAACTTTTAAAAAATATTCATATTCTAAATAATATAGTCCACATGTCTTTTAAAAATATATAGAAACCTGCCTGTTGAAAGACACAAACACAAAATTGATGATATTATTAATTTTGACCTTTTTGACATAATCATCGCAATAGTTTCGGAAACAATAGTCGTTCTCTGTTGTGGTAATATTACTGATTTTTTGACAGGTATCAGTGTATTATAATATTTTAAGCTGCATTTTTCTTTAGTCTATTTTGTTCAATGTATACGAAGGAGGACAAAGTTGACCTATTAGAATGTTACATCGCCAATAACAAAAGTCTTGCTCTCAGACAATATAGAGTAAAAAAAATGACAAAATATACCATTAGTTTCGTACAAATGGCAGTGTTTTAGTGAAAAAAAATTAGGACCCGAACGGATTTGGGTGAAAATGTGCAGCTAGATATTTTTCTGCATTTTGAAAATACTGCAAAGACCTCCACCGGCCTTGCCGCTTCAGACGTAGACGTAACACGAACCACACTTCAAACATTAGGTATTATTATTATTATAAAAATTAATAGTTGTAAGCCACTTAAATTCACACCAGTACAAAAACTACAAGAAGCATATTTTAACTTAAGACGCCAATTTTGCAATATAATGATGGATAGGCATTTTTTAGATTACAAATTTCAAAATATAATTGGGACCGATGAATCAATATTTACAAAGTTTGCGATATTATTTATTAGGAAAAATACATGTTATTGAAGCACAGAAAATAAAAAATGTGTTTTTGAAGTAAACAAGCAGGGGCGAAGATCCGTGAAAGCATGGTGCGCAACCTGGACATCTAGAATTTTAGGACCCATATTTTACCAACAAAACAACATCCCTACGATATCTAAACGAATTAAGGAACGAAATTCAGTCACTCATATATAATAATATTTCCAAGGAAAGCATCCGAATTTAATTTGGCAGCAAAATGGCGCTCCTCACCATGGAAGAGTTGCAATAATTCGTTTTTTAAACCAAAATTTCAGAGAGTGGATTGAACAAAACGGAACCATCTATTGGCCAGTGAAGAGTTCAGATTTGACCCGATGGACTTTTTTTGTGGGGCACAAAGAAAAATCGTCAACAGTTTTGGAAGTGAAGCAACGAGTTCGCGTGGCAATACACTATCTGACTGAAACGAATTACGTCTCAAATGCCATATGCCATTTAGAAACAGCGTATACTAGTTGTATTGTTCAAAACGGCGGACATATTGAAAAAGTAATTTAATTAATTTTACGTTTAAGTAATAGTTAGTGTTAATTTTTTGTAATCATTTCATGTAGACATTTAAACGTAAAAATAAGTAATCTGCTAAATTATGCAACATTGTGCAAAGCTTGATATTCTGTTTTTAATATGACTTTTACAATGCTCTAAAACGGTTGTGAACAAGTTGATAACGAGCTAATTCCCAGTTTCACGTCTTAATCATTTAAATCTTATACCCAGTTTTTTATTTTATGTGCCAATTAAGCCACAACGGTAAGTCAGAGACGCTTTTACTATGTTATATCATTCAAAATGCTATTAAAGTGTCTATTCGAAAATCCAGTAATATACAGGGTGTCTCATTTAAGAAAGTTGAGAAAAGTATCATTTTGCGTAACGTGGCACCACCGCGTTTTGATCATTCCCGAATTCTGAAGATGAGCGCTAATAAGATCGAAACGGTGCATCACATAATGCATACTCATTTATATAGTTGAATTTGTCTTTGAAAGGACTATCCAAAGATGCAATAGAATGTAGGGTGTTCTATTAAAAAAAAAATGTAACCGAGGTAGGTTTTGAGATAAGGTACAGGCCACTCTTAAACGAACCACCCTGTACATGATCTTTATTTGAAATCATATTCTAATTGCGGATACGGATAAGACTACTTTCAAATATAATTTGGGACTGGGAATCAGACAGGTTGCCATTAAGGCAATTTATTATGCCGCAATTTGAGCTTTCAACTGTTTATTTTAAATCTTACAAGTTTCTAATCGCTGTTCACACATCGCCCAATTTGGCGTAGTTGTTGCGAATATTATGCGAAAATAGTCAATATGCGTATAGAAAACTTTTTGTTCAATACTTTGGAAATTTAAAATTTTAAGCTACTAGGATTGGTTCAATTAACAAAGTTTGAGTTACTTGCCATTCACTGCATTTACTTAGGTAGTTTGACTGTGCTTTGTTCGACTTTTTTAAAAGAAGAAGAAATTTTAAATATAGACAAAAATTGAATGAGCATAAAAAATTTAATAAAAAACTTTACCAATACTTTGAACCTAAATAGAAGAAACATAACAGTTTGGCTAGGTTGTGTGTCGTTCAGCTATCACAGTTAAAATTTCCCATTCTACTGTTAGCTCATTTATTTTACGTTGGTGGCGCTGCTATTGCTCCGTCCTACGTTGGCGTTGTACTTATAATCGCGGTATGTACATGAACCTATGTCTAGTTCGTTTAATGTGCAGAGTGTTAATAAAGCATTATTAGTGTGGTTTGTGTAAAATAACGCAACAAGCAGCAACGCAATAGCCAACATGTAGCGATCAAATGCATTTTTATCATATTGAAGTGTTAAAGCTGGGGTTTTGCAGAAGGTGAAGCACTATTAAATGCAAAACACATAATTTTAATTGAGTCTATAGGAGTTTGGCCCATTTTGTTTTTATCTTAAATTTCTATTCAAATTAAACAAAAGTAGATTAGACTATATCATTTTTGTTAAAGATTCGTAATAACGTTTTATGTTTAAAACAAAGTGGCAATGCCAAAAAGAGCATTTTTGAAATAAATCGGAAACGCGAATTGTTTAGGTCCACCACTTACTCGAAGGCTGCAGCTGAGATCAATTAAAAGACTCGTGGGAGCGGGCAATGGAAGACCTCCCTAAAGGCACGAGGTTTCCATGCTTTGATGAGTTTACGTGGTCTGAGGAGGGCACGATTATGGTGACCTATGCAGATCAGAACTCAAAGGACTGGATAAAATCCAGCCGTCACGACTTGGGTGTGTGGAGACTGTTCTGACATGACTAGAGCAATCAGGGCTCGTCTATTGTTACAACTCCGAGGAAATTTTTTCTTCTCCAATGGAAACAACTGCAAGCCCATACCTTGAACTGTGTCCTCATAATGTCTTCATTCGAGAAAAACTGTCCCCTTATTTTTGTCAAAGACGAAAAAGCATAGTGAATTGGAGGCTTTACTTCGGAAACCAAACAAGTTGAACCGCAACTATGCGCTCCAATAAATGGCGGTATTAGGAGAACTTTCGAGAGAATCCCAAATAAGGTTTAAAAGCCTCATTAAAAAGAGGAAAAAGATGGAGGAGCAAACTCCGTGTTCACCCGGAAGGCCTTCCGGCGGAAAAGTGGGGTTCATCTGACCACCAGAAGGACTTCGGCCCTATTAATTTGACATCGTTTTGATAAAAATAGATGATAGAATTGTATCTTTGTGCAAAGGTCCTTCCCCGATATGTTAATTTAGTAGGGAAATTAATGAAACCAGCATCTTATAATATTACAAGTTGAGACGGAACTTTCCAGGAAGGACTCGGCACTGGCTAGCACTTAGGAAGATCAAATTGAATGCGGGCCATTGAGGGAGACACTCAGGGAGAGTAGCTGGTATATGTGGCTGCTCATCTACGGCCCAGATACCTGTACCTCTGGGGGTCTATCCCAACAAAGGGTATCAAGTACATCTATATCGCCCGGTTATCCCAGACTCTTGCCTCTATAATTCTGTCAATCTCGTCTGGGGATACTGAGGTATTGAAGGGTATTCATATGGTTGGCAGACTGGCTCGGGAGCCTTGCATCGGAGTCTTCCGTTGGAATACCATTGGGAGAGTTTACTGGCAACAATGCGGTGGTATAATTGATGGGAAGCCCTCAATACAGAAATTATACAGAATCTTTATATCAAAATTGTATTATATAATGTAAAGTAAAATTTATTTGGCAAATATTTATTTCACACTCGATTTCTCTTATTACACACCTAGGTACACCTGTCTAGTTCTAGGTATAATATTTAGATTGTATGCAGAGAAGCATTGTCACTAGTATTGACCAAGAATTGTAGACCTGAAATTAAAAATAAAATTATTACCATCCACTTAGATATTTTTGTGACTGTGTAAAACGTTAAAAGTTTAAAAGTGACAATAAAACAAGTTCTTATTACTTACTGGTACATACTGCAACCTACTAAATCTTTCGATTAGG